ATCAATACAGACCCCCCTGCAACTGACAGACACACATCCTGTCACAGACAGACAGATACACACACAGAGAGGCTTCCCCAAGGCGCAGTGCAGCTGAGAAACAAACATCTGTAATGGACTGATGGCACCCGTTAAAATTGTTACATCAGTCACTGAAACCCCAGGATGGCATCACGTGGGTGGAGCTGTGTGTACACACACACAAACTCATCCCTGGCTCTCTTATGGTGCTGTTCATCTGTAGATCTCAAAAGACACTTTCCAGCAGAGGTCAGTATCATTATCCCCATTGTACAGAGGGGGAAACTGAGGCAAAGAGTGGGAACATGCTCACTAGACTCCCTTCCCTTCCCAGCGCTGGGGATAGAAGCCAGGAGCCCTTTCCCCTCAGTCAGTCAGCCCACACAGAAACCCATCTTACGCTGAGCTGCTCTCTGTGTGTGTTTGTGTGGCGGGGGGTGTTAGTGGAGCCCGCGTGGCCTAGCTGGCATGTCCATGTCACCACTGAAGTAGTATAGGAATTGGGTTATATCCCTTTGAATAGCTGGTGAGTCCTCTAGCGGCGCCCACTGCATTGTAGGGCCAAGACCTCAGCCAGCACAGCAGCGTGTATCCACAACTAGGCCTTGCACGTCATAGCTGCTCAGCAACCGGTGATTTGCACTGGGTGGTCCTGTCCCACTGCTGTTGTGCAAAGGGCAAAAGAATCAACTACAAGCAGGACGTGTTCTGTGCTGATTTGTGAGCTGCCCTGGGGGAGGTGGTGGTGCCGGCAGTGGGCCTAGAACCGAGGACCCTTTGGTCTTAATGCTGGCGCCTGCGCTAAAAGGACTGGCTGTGCAGGCCAGGCCCACCATGGGGGCCAGGCACTATGTAGCGACTGCTACAGCCCTGGCAGCAGAGCCTTCTGTTGGAAAGACCCAGAAGTTGCTGGTTTGATTCCCAGGATGTGGTTGCTGCCTCCGCCCTTTGCCTAGGGAAGCTGGCTCCAGTTCCCCACACCCAGCTCTGACCCCGTGTGCAGGAGCAGCTGGCTGGGCTGCAGCAGAGAAATGGGACTGTAGGACAGCCGCACCCAAGTGTGCAGGCACTGTAAACCAGGCCATGGGGTGCTAAGAGGGCCATTCGCTCCAACACCCATGGCTGAGAGTTACCCTGAATTCCTAGCAGTGTGAGAGCAGCCAAAGGATCTCCCACTAGAGGGAGGGTGGGGAAATCCACTGGATTTGATTTGGTAGCATTTGCTTTGCTAGTTCTGGCCGATCCCACCCTGGCTTTCATCTCGTCTTTAATTATGTGTATTGTGACCAATATCAGAGCTGGTGCTGCCCAGACACAGGGGGCAACAGTCCAAACAAAGGGCAGGGGGGAAACTGAGGCACAAAGCGGGGTCGTGACATGCTCAAGGTCACCCAGCAGGACAGTGACAGAGCCAGCAATAGAGCCCAGGAGCCCTAGCCGCTCAACCATGCTCCCTTGTCTCTACTCTGGTTTCCTCTTGGAGTGGGAGTGTGCGGGAATGGCTGTGTGAAACCATGCGTGTGTGTTTGTGATTGTGTGACAGGCTGTGATATGTATCAGACAGCATATGCAACTTCATGATGGCACAGTGAACACCACGCCAAGCCCAGCACTCCCTGCACAGTGGCTCTCCCACCCTGGAGCGTGGGTGTGCCAGGGGTGCTGCTACACCCACGACTCTGGACTGCAGGTCTGCAGGTTTCCTTCCAGGGGCTGAGTTTTTTGCTCTGTGTCTATACAGAACCTGGCACACTGGGGGCCTGGTCCATGACCAGGGCCCTGGGCACAAGCACAATACAGATCATACCTCGTCATTAATTCGCCTCCACAACCCTCTTTGTCAAAACCAAACAAGGAGCATGAGGACTTCAGGTCATTTTCATTTGATCTCTCGGGCAGCTTTGTATTTCAGTGCTCTGTCTCTTCAGCTGCTAAGTCAACATCATTATCCCTGTGTTAGAGGCAGGGAAACTGAGGCATGGATGCTTTCTGCACCCCGCCAGGCAACAGCTGAGAATGGAACCCAGGAGTCCTGACCTCCAGCCTCCGCACCCTGTTTTAACCCAATAGACCCCCATTTCCAGCCCAGGGCTGGGAATAGAACCCAGGAGTCCTGGCTCCGAGCCCTAACCCCACTCTAACCCTTAGACCTACTCCCTTGCCAGAGCTAGGTATAGAGCCCAAGCATCCTGACTCCGTTTTGATCCCACCGCTTGATCCTCCCAGCCCCTGCAGGCTGCCTTTGCAAACCAGAAACGGGGGAAGCAGGGCAGAGTTCACGTGCGAGGCAGAAATGTGGTGAACTAACCAGCTGTCAGGGATTGAACAGAGGCCGTGACTTGCCCTAATGCTAAGAAATGGTTCCCGCTATTTGTTTGCAGATTCTATGAATCTGGGGCCCCTGCCTTTCTGAACCTGGGAATTGTGTCTCTCCCCTCATCCAGGGATGGGGGGAATCGAGCCTACTTTCCCAGAATAAGAGCAGAATGCTATGATCCAAGATGGGCCCTCCGTGTTGCTGACACAGGTGGAAAAAACACAGACATGGACTCCAAAAGTGTATTTCTGCTTTTCCACCCTCTTTTTGCTCTCATTTGCCAGCCTGTTCAATTCACAACAGAGCCAGAAGTTTGGTCTAATACACTACAAGACTTCCGCTGTCCACAGATGCAGATCATTTTCACTCCCAAATATTTTCCTTCATTGCCACATACACGCATCTTTCATCAGCAGCCAGTTCGCATTCATTTCTTTTCCCCAGCCCTAAATATGTTATTTCCTTAAGCAAATCCAGCTACCTGGCTGGCACTTCAGCCCCCACCCCACCACACAGTCTCAATGTTTGGGCTATTCAGCTTTTAACAGCAGCCACAAAATCCCCCAAAGCAGAAATTTTTCCCACTTTTCAAGGCAACAAAATTGATTTTTATTTTAAAACTTTGCCATATCATTTCTCCTGCTACAGTTCCACAGGCCTCAATTCTTGCAACAAACTGGGCAAAAAGAGAGAGATTATAGAAAGGGGTGTCTTAAAGCTTTCTGTCTTAAAATCCCAGCTCAAAATTCAGCCCTCAGGGCCCCTGGCCCTGATACTGCAAGAAATCTTTTTTCTTCTTCATGGACCACACACACAAAACCAGTGGCAGGATTATTTGGTGGGTGGGGGTGTTCTTCCCCCCCCCAGAGGAAAGCGAGCGACACATAGATCAAAATATAATAGAGTGCATAAAATATTTCTGTTTTCATAAAACACCTTTGAGTGGAAGAACTATGATTGCAGGCCATTGAGCCTTTCCCAAAAGCAGACACAGAACAAGTCCAGACTGACTCGCCAGAATTAATGCAGGTAGATAAATAGACAGATAGATCCCACTTCTTTCTATTCAACATAGGCTGGGAAAGGAAAAGTCCCTAGCAAACAGCTTATTAAAAATATCAAGCTAACACCATCCAAAGTAAAATCAAATCCGAAGGAGAGGTCGTGTATTGAGTTACACCACTGTGTGTGCATGGGCTTTGATAGAAGCCAGTCCACCAAATACAATATACACGCATTGCTTTCTTATAAATATACTTTAAGAAGGAGGGAAATATTGGCTTTTCTGAGAGCGGGTTAATTGTTACTTCGATTTATTCACCTTGAAGAAAAGGGGGCAACTGTTTAAATCCTTGCAGGATTAAGAGCTAACATAACCCTTCTTCTCTATAGTGGAAGCACCTTGCAAACATTATTAATTAAATGAAAGTTCCTGACTTTCCTGGTCCATTTGGAAAACGTGAATTCCAAATCCTTTTGCCCAGGTTGAGAAGTTGCAAAAGATTAGAGCCCCCAGGGAGAATTTTTCTTTACAGCAGGATCCAGTTTAAAAAGACGAAAAAGCTCAGCTTTATGTCCATACCAGCCCAGTGTTCGATGTTGAGTTTTGGATTATTTGCCCTCCTGCTAGGAAATGAAATGTTGAATGTGGATCGGGCAATGCTGCAAAATTCAGAGCATCGCTTTTCTTTCCGGAACCCCCTCCAGAAAAAATACACAGCGTAAATTGGAATAAATTCTCCAAATTGTGGGTTCATTCCTTGCAACAGATTTCAACCCAGCTGCTGGGGGGAGGGGGGGGGATATTTTGCCGTTGCTCAGAAAGGTTACTGAAGTGTAAGCTCACCCGAGCACCTTGTTTCCTTAAGTGGCTGGAATGTCCCTGTTTGTGCACTCAGCTACTGGCATGGCTATCATGTATGCATGAATGGAACGGTACATGAAAAGCAACAAGAAACACGCATGCAGAGGTGAAGGAGCACAAAATATATTTCACTCTGGGGTCTAATGGGAAAGACATTCTCACACACACACACACCCCCCGCTGCATCTTCTCCAGGTGCAAAGCCAGCTCTTCACGGCACAGCGGCTATCAGTCTTGCCCGGGAAAGCAGCTTGCATTCCTCCCACCCCCCATTAGCCGATTCTCAAATCCGTCTTTTTTATTTTTGGTCTGCTGGTCTCTCCTCACTTTCCCTCCCCCTGTGTGAAATAACTAATTCCAGGTAGGGACAGAGAAATCAAATCACACAAGCTTCCCCCCCCCACCCCCACTCCTCCTTAAAATCAGTGCCCAAAACCATCTCCATCCTTTTGCCCTATTGCACAAAAAACACCCAACTTGAGAACAGAGGCAGTGGGGATTTGAATGCGCTGCAGGTTTTTGGAAAACCCTGGTTTCTCCAGCAAAAGTAAATAAGCTCGATGAGCTAACAGCTGAGGGACAGACCCCTACATAATGGGGTTTTAATCACAGAAAAGTCTTAGAAAGCTAGGCAAATCCAGAGCAGTGAATCTGTACGGTGGAGCCCGGGCATTTTAACCACGCTATCATTGCAAATCCCGGAGCAGCCTTGCAAGCGAGGTCTGTTTGGAACCCAGGCATCCTGGGCTTCAATACGAACAAATCTCTCTCTACATTTATTTGGGGGTGGAAGCTTACCTGTTTGGCGTCCAATCGCTCTCTCCCTCCACAAAGTTTATCACGCCAGCCGGCCAGTTTATTCCAGTAACGAGGCAAAAAGGGATGGAGACTCAGACTAGGAAATCGGCGAGGGGGGTGTTCAAACAGAGGGGTGGGGAGGGAGGGCTGGCTCGCGGCGTGGGGCGAGCTAAGGCCAAGGGATGAAGTGTGGAGCAGAGTGAAGGTTGGTGTGCTGGGGGTGGGGGCGAGCAAAGACACACACACACACACACGCACGGCTGCTGGGGAGCGCGGGGGAGACCGCTTGCGATGCCACTGGTGCGCCAGACGACATCTAGAGCGCGCTGTGCATTTGTGCTAGCCGGGGCGATGCAACGCGGTGTAACGGGAGGAAGAGCCGGGGTGCTTCCTGCTAGCTGGACGCCGGCAGGGCCCCCCCACGCCGCCCCCTGCAGCTAAAATGGCAGAGGGGCCAGAGAGAGCAACGCCTGTTTTATGGTTCACGGGGCCTTTTGGAGCCGAAAAAAGGGGCTGTGGGGATAATGATGCAGCGTCGTCATGAAGGGCAGCCGTCAGGAGGGGGGAGGGGGTCGAGCTGAGCCAGATCCCCAGCTGGTGTAAATCAGCGTCACTCCATTGGAACCAGATCCCCAGCTGGTGTAAATCAGCGTCGCTCCATTGGAGTCAATGGGACCAGATCCCCAGCTGGTGTAAATCAGCATTGCTCCATTAGAGTCAATGGGGCCAGATCCTCAGCTCGTGTAAATCAGCGTCACTCCATTGGAACCAGATCCCCAGCTGGTGTAAATCAGCATCACTCCATTGGAGTCAATGGGACCAGATCCCCAGCTGGTGTAAAGCAGCATCACTCCATTGACCCCAGTTTACACCAGGTGTGCATCTGGCCCCATCAGTCTGTCATCTAATGCAGTAGTGGCTGCAAACCAAGTACCCTGGGATTTGTCCCCAGGGAGAGTTTTGTTTGTTCAAGCCCTTTGGCCGTTGTGCCCCCCCAGTCAGGCTGTGAGCCCTTCCCCTCTGGGGCTGTGATGGGGGAGGGGTATGGAGAGGGGTATTTCCCCCACTTTTCAGTCTGTACCTAAACGGATGATGGCTGGGATGGTCTGGGAGTGTTCTAAGGGAGGGGGGTCTAGTGGGTGAGAGCAGGGGGCTGGGAGCCAGGCAGGGGCAGTTGCCACCCCACAGATTTTCATAGGTCTAAATTCTCCATTATGCCATCCCCCACCCCGATGCAGGATATAATAGTCATGTATAAGGCTCTATAGCCTGACACAGCTTTGCCTTCCCCTCGCCCCTGAAGTTTTCTGAAATGACCCTCCTGGATTCTGTCCCTGCTCAGGGGGAGGGGGACAGGGGGGTGTCTAGTGGGTTAGTGCAGGGGGCAGTTAGGACTTCTGGGGTTTATCCCCAGCTCGGTGCGTGGGTGGGTGCCTAGTGGCTCAGAGTGGGGGCGAGGCCTGGAAGTCAGGACTGAGTCCTAAGTTGATTTGCTCTGAGCCCCGGCTCCATCCCTTCGCCCTCTCTTTCCTCGCGTGGCAGTCGGGGTAGTGGTGACCCAGCTGCCTTCCCATCCGATGGCTCTTCCTTAGCCCTGGCGTGAAATCACTGTGTTGGGTCTCAGCTCAGTCAAAAGCACCACCGGAGGAGTCAGGGGCCTCTGCGCCAACCTTCCCCTGTGGGCACTAATTACCGGACGGGCCTGACTCTGGGTTTCAGCCCTTTCAGTGACAGTCACACCGGTTGGAAGCTCCTTGGCTCTTGTCCCCATGCAGAGTGACACACAACCCTTGGACCAGTACCACTCACATTTCCCCCCATGCCCATGCCCTCTCCTGCCTGGCTGACCTCAATGTGCAATGCTAGTGGGCCATGTCCCCTCAGTGAGTGCTGACCCCAGTTCCCCTGTGTGATGCTAGGGGGCCCTGTGCTGCAGGGAGCAGGGTAGGAGGGCTCAATGGGGTTCCTGTCTGCCCACAGTCAGTGCTGACCCCAGTGCCCCAGCGCAGTGCATGGGGGCGCTGCTGCAAGGGCCAGTGGCGGCTAAGTAGGGGGCTCTTTCCCATAGCTGTCAGTGCTAACCCCAGTGCCCCAGTGCAGCGCTCGGGCTCTGTGCTGCAGGGGGTGCCTGCTTAGTAGTGGGCACTCTCTCCTCTTAATCTGTCTGTAGTTTCATTTGATACTTGAATCTTCACTTCCTGTCTTAAACTGTTGTGTGCCACTGTTAAACTGCTCCCCACCCTAGAGGCCGCTGCATCGCAGTGCTGGGTGGGGGGGTCCCTGTGTAAACAGCCCCTGTGTTCCGCCCCAGAGACAGCCACGTCTCAGGTGCTAGGTGAGATGACAGCTGATTTTCCAACCTAGGTATCTCTTTTCTGGAGGTTTTGGGAGCTTGGTAGGTTGAAGAGGAGTTGTTGTCTGTGCAGCGCCCAGCACAAAGGGGTCCCTGATCTCAGTCGGGGTCTGAGCTGCGCCCAGCACAAAGGGATCCCTGATCTCAGTCGGGGTCTGAGCTGCGCCCAGCACAAAGGGGTCCCTATCTCAGTCAAGTTCTGGGCAGTGCCCAGCACAATGGGGTCCTGATCTCAGTCAGGCTCTGGGCAGCACCCAGCGCAACGCGGTCCTGATCTCGGTTGGGGTCTGGGCAGCGCCTGGCACAGTGGAGGCCCTGATCTCAGTCAAGCCCTTTAGGTGCTACTGTAATGTTAATAACAATATCTCACAGCAGGGCATGAATCATTGTAGTTTAAGATCTGTAAACTCTGGCCCGCAGCATGGAAAGAGAAACTCCTGCAATGTTGGGCTAATGAATCCGCAAGGAATGAGGAAGAGCCACATACATATTTATTCCCCTCCCCGCTCGTGTATTTCCCCCATTCCACCAGCTCTGATCCGCTAATGAAGGGCCCTTATTATGTTCCTATAATTCCTCCCTAATTTGATATTTTAGTGTTTCTATAAAAAGCCTCCAGTTTTCTGCAGATTTCCCATTAAATTCCATCTCCCCTCCCCCGCCATGGCTCCCACCATCCCAGGATTGGCGTGTTCTTGGAGAGCCCTCTTTCCTTACTCTCCAGCCACCCACGCCCCACTTTGTACAGTTTATGCTGCAGGGAGCCACTAAATTAAACCATCCCAGAGCTCTCTGCTCCTGAGATTTGTGTGTGACCTTATAGTCTACAACTGGCAGGTCATCCTAGTGGGAGATTATAGCTGCATGTGTGCCTCCCTGCTGCCCTCTCTGGTCCAAGCCGAACTGCTGATGTGTGTGTGTCATAGCTCCTATACTGCCAATAGGGATTCTCCTTCAGCCCCGGCCAGCATAAGGTTTGGAGGGCTCCCCTTTTGCAAGCAGGAGCTGGGTTCTCCAGAGTTGGAGCAATGAATATAAAAAATCAACATGGGGTTTGGAAGCCCCACAGCCACAGGGCACAAATGTTGTGTAGTTACCAGCACTAGAGCAACAAGGTGTCTGTGCAGCACCTGGCGCAACAGGGCCCCAGTCTCAATCAGGGTCTGTGCGGTGCCTGGCATAATGGAGCCCTGATCTTGGTCAGGGTCTGTGCAGCACCCAGTGCATTGCAGCCCAATGTGTGTGTATATTGAGCTCACTGATACCCATGGGTCTCCAGTGGATTTTCTCCTCTCCCACAGTCCAGGACCAGGGCAGCTCCAAGGTTCCAAACCAAGGCCCCCTGGGAGTGATTGGGGAGGGGACACTTGGACAGCGCCGCCTGCAAATACAGTTTTGGCCCATTGAAATCTCCAGTGCCACCCGTGATGCATGCTTATCTCACTGCGACCTGCATGCCCTCCTCAGTGCATGGCACTCTTGCTGCATGCCTTCCTCATGCATGTTTAGCTCGGTGTATGGCACATGCTAATCTCAGCACATGCCACCTTCAACGTGTGTCAGTCCCACTGCATGCCATGCCCCAGGCACATCTGCACACTGTGTCTCAGGGCCACATCCACCTACCCCCCCATGACTGGTAGCAGCTCAGTGGAGTTTACATGCAGGCTCTGCCTGTGAGTTTGGAGGGTCTTTGGCAAGGGCCAGCCCCCTCCCTCCCAGCCCTCAGGTCTCAGGTGGTGCAGCAGGTAGCAGGCACCTGGGTCCAGCCATTCCAGCCAGCGGCTGGCAAAACTGATCAGTGGCAGGAAAAGCCTCTCGAGGCTGTTGCTTGGCAACGGAAACGCCTGATGCCAAGGAAGAGACAGGGGAAGGCGGGTGTTTTCCTTGAACAGCCGGAGCACAGCGATGGGGTTTGGAGGGAGTGCAGCGGTGGCCTGGAATACCAATGCAAGCAGCAGCAACAAACTGGCCAGGTCCCTGGGGTGCCTGCCTGGGCTGGCACCATGTGTATCCCAGGGAAGTTCTTACCCCACGCCCATCACCGTGGCATCCAAACCCTTCCTGGTGGTGCATTAAATGACCTGACTAATGTCTGTCGTGTGTATGTTTGGAGGGGTTGGGGTGTCATCTGGAGGTCCCCTTGTACTGGGAATCTGGGATCGGGGTCCTGGGGTGGGGTATCATCTGGAGCAGGGGGCCCCCTTGAACTGGGTAACTGGGGTCAAGGGTCCTAGGGTGTCAGCTGGGGCAGGGGTCCCCTTGTACTGAGGATCCAGGGTCAGGGGTTCTGGGATGTTGTCTGGGGCTGGGTGTCCCATTGTACTGGGGATCTGGGGTCCTGCTGGGTCATCCGGTCCGGGGGTCCTGTTGCACCAGGGAGCTTGTGACTGTGTGAGAGCCCCTGGGGTTCATGAGATGGGGGTGTGCATGTTCCCTTGGAGACCAAGCAGCAGCAGGGATGAGGGCAGTGAGGCTCAGACCTGGGCACAGCTGGGCTGTCCCTGCCCTGGCCCCAGCTCTGGCCAGCATCAAGCAGAGCCCCCAGCCACTGGCATCTCAATTATTAAGGTGGATGGAGGAGCAGCCGGCATGTGCCTTTGGAGGCTCCTGCAGGAGAGTGACTCCAGGGCTAGCAGAGTGAGGGGAGGAGGGACCTGGCTCCCAGCTCTGTGAGGGAAGTGGGGTCTAGTGGTTAGAGCAGAGAGGGCTGAGGGCCAGGACTCCTGGGTTCCATTCCCAGCACTGGTCAGGGAGTGATGATGTTTCACACCCATTTTGAACTAGTGCAAATGAGGGTACATGGTTCAGGGCCTATCAGTACAGCTCCGCCCCTTTTCCACACTCAAAGGACATACGGCTGGAGGGCCCGCTGGGCCAGGCATTCCTGTTCCTGCTGTCCTAGGCAGCCCATTGTACTCTCAGGCTGCCTGGTAAAAGCAGGAACTCAATACCTAACCCTTAGCGCCAGGGGTATTTCCTGTCCTGGGGCACTGCACAGTGAAGGCACCAGCCACCCTCTCCTCTAGCTCCTCCTCATGCACAGACCCAGGAAGTTGCAGTTATAACCTGGTGCTGGGAAGTTGCAGTTATAACCTGATGCACAGAGACCCCTCACCCAGCGCTGGGATGCAGCCGCCTCTGGGGTGGGGCACAGG